CCCCCCGCCCCTAGATTACAAGCAGGGGTGGCGTTTGGTATGGATAGACAGTTTCTCATCAACTGAGACACTAGAGAGGTTCATAAACACTTTGTCCCCCTTGGTTGGTTTGGTAGGGGCTATTCCTTCATCCCTTCCATCCTTCACCGACGGTTAGGATCGACCCAGAGTGGAATAAAAAAACTTAAAAAAAGAGATTTCCCGGATTATCCAGCGGTGCTTTTGGCACGGGTGGAGGGTGGTGTAAAAAAAAGGACATAGAGGGCGTCGCTCGACTACCTCTCGACATGCACAAAAGACCAAAATCATGGCGGTGTATCTTTCCATGTTCTAGCGGATGATTCGTTCTCAATTTCACATTTCGAGAGTCGTGGAGCGGGGCCCAGAAGCTTGTGGAACCAACCCTTGCTAGGTAGTGTGAGGTACTGAGAGAAAAGTATAGATTTGTTCTCTCTTTCCTTTTTTTTTTTTTTAAAGGAAAAAGAAAAGTTGCATAAACAATAAATAGCACGAGGTGAGATATCAAAACAAACACTCGAACGATTGAAAAACAAACACTCGAATGAACACGAATGAACTCGAATGAACTCGAACGATTGAAAAACAAACACTCTGAATGAACACAAATGATTGAAAAACAAACACCGGAATGATTGAAGTCCCAAATCAGCAAAAGGACCCGTGTAGCGGGATGTCAAATTGGAAGACGTAACATCATACACGCCTCATCCCATCTTCGCCCCCTCTCTTCTGTCCGCCAACCCCGTCGCACAAATCATACCTACAGCATGTTTGATATCTCACCTCATAAACAATAGCACGATATTTTGTTTGTGTAGGGTTTGTTTTCCATCCCTCTGTGTTGGCACCTTACCTGAAGACTTAGAGCTCGTCGACACCTGGGAGATTTCTTTCTGGGCAATCTCAATGTGGCCGTTGCTCGCAGCAGCGAGTACTTCGGGGATGTCGACTATCAACATGTTGGGCTGGACGGAGGCGACAAAAATGGGCAAACAAACAAAAAGGGGGGCAAAAAAGAAAAGGGGGGGGCCGGGGGGGGCAAACAAGAACAATGGCCCAAATGTCAGGAGACTGGGCACACACATGCACCAAGAAAAAGCAAATAATTCATGGAGAAAATGAAGAGGAAGTCAAAAGGAGATGCAAGACGAAGATCCAGAGAGTGGAGGACGAAGAGGGGAGGAGATTGGCAAAGCGAGGGGCTTTTGTAACAGGAGGGTCGGACACAGGAGCAGAGGGCAAATGAGGAACACAAGAACAAGGAGAAGTGAGAGGGGAAAGAAAGATGACGAGGGGAAGGAGAAGGTGGAGAGGGATAGCAAGCAGAAGCAGAAGCAGAAGCAGAAGCAGAAGCAGAAGCAGAAGCAGAAGCAGAAGCAGAAGCAGCAGCAGAAGAAGGGGGCGGCAGAGGAGGAGGAGGAAGAGGGCAGCAACGACTGATGAAGACAAGGAGGACAAGGGGCAGCAGATGCCAGAGGGCTAGGGCAAGGATTAAAAATCACGGACTCGAGAGAAGAGCACCAGAAGGAAGATTCATGTTTCATGGACGCTGGACCCGTTTTCCAGCCGGTGACATTGCCCACCGATAGCTTGGAGTCACCAGTGAAGCAGCTACTGTCTTCACCCGAATAGAACGCCCGGTCATTATAGCCGTATCTGGTACAATTTCGAGTCCAGATACAGGTATAATGAACGGGCGTTCTATTCGGGTGAAGACAGTAGGGGTGGATGCTCTTATCACCACTCCTAGCTGTAGTAGCTGGTTGTTATTGGAGAAGAAAAAGGAAAAAAAAAAGAGCACCACAAGGAAGAGAACAAGCAGGCGTATAAGGCACATGTAGACGATCAGTACAAGAAACAGCAGCAGCAGCAGGAGGAGGCAGCGTAGAAGGAGGAAGAGGACAGCGAAGACTGATGGAGGCAAGAAGGACAAGGAGCAGGAGATGGCAGAGGGCTAGGGCAAGGGTCGAAAATCAGGGAGTCAGGAGAATGAGGAGCAGAAGGAAGAGCACAAGCAGGTGTGTAAGGTGGATGCAGACGATCGGTATGAGGAACAGCAACAGCAGCGGCATAAGGAGGAGGTGGTGGCGGAGGAGGAAGAGGACAGCGAAGACTGCTGGAGACAAGGAGACCACAGCGTAGGCAATGGCAGATGGCTAGGCCAAGTGTGGAAAATCAGGGAGTCGGGAGGATGAGAGAGCAGAAGGAAGAGCACAAGCAGGCGTACGAGGCACCATGAAGGCGATCGGTACAAGGAATAGAAGGGAGATGAATAGCGTAATGAGAGAGGATGGAAAATGAAGAAGTCAGGAAAATGAGGAGCAGAGGGAAGAGCACGAGCACGTGTATGAAGTGCATGCAGACGATCGGCACAAGGAACAGAAGGGAGTCGAACAGCACAATGAGAGCAAGGGGGAGGCATGAGGAAGCACGAGGAAGCAATTTGGATGAAGATGGTAGAAGCAAGGGGAGAAGAGGTAGACAAGGAAGGAGAGAAGGGAGGAGAGATGGAAGGGGAGTGAAATGCCGTGAGGAGGCAAGGAAACTGTTGGGAGGAAAACAGGAAAGGAAGCACAGAGATGAAAGGGGGAATAAGGGAGGGAAGAGGAGTAAGAGAGGAGTAGGAATTTTTTGAGGAGAAGAGGAGAAAGGGAGCGGGAAGAGGAGCGTGGTTCTAGTTGCTAGACGCAGTGCCTTGCCTAATTCCTTTTTTTTTTTTTTTTTCCCTCTAGTTTCTTCTTTTAGTTACCTTATCAGAATCAGATTCTTGAGAGAACGTCGTTGTTCGATTCTATGCTAGGCAAGAAAAAAAACACTACCATCTTCCCAGGAAGACACCGCACCCTCAATATGGCTGTATGGGAGCAGAAATATAGCTTATGTGCACTGATTATCAATCAGGGTGCATTGTGTTCGGGGGAAGACGGTAGGTGAATCATGTCCTTGAGAGAAGTTTGTTGCTCGATTCCATGCCAGAAAAAAAACATTGGGCTTACGGAAAGTTAATACTCACTGCGATCAACGATTCTCCCAGGACCTTCTCCACTGTGCTATCCTGCATCCCCCCATCAGGGACCAATGACCACACAAAGAGCTTGCAATTAGACAAATCAATAACACATAGCAATGAGCCACTTATATTGACACCACAAGCATATGCACAATGAGAGTTCACTTAAAAATTTCACGCCGAAGTCCAGATTAGCGCAGCTCATAAACTTCAATGAATGATCATATTATACAGATTCAGAGTTCATAGAGTCACCAGGTGCTCATCGGTGCAGTATACAGCAGCCACCATCAAGTACGTCTCTCTCTCTCTCTCTCTCTCTCTCTCTCTCTCTCTCTCTCTCTCTCTCTCTCTCTCTGTTTGTGTCACACA